TCCGCTAGCACACCCCCAGCAATAGCTGTGTTAAGTAAACAAACCCTATCTGATGCAAAATACACATTCTAATTAGGCCTGCAAATGGGCCCCCCAATCAATTTTGATCATCGTAAAATAGGTAAATAACCTTCCAAAACCCACAGTAATATATCCACAACATATACAATCAGTTGTCTAACCCTTAACATACCTTCACGGTCCGCAACCAAGGAATAGACTGCATTTGAGAACATCTAGTCCCTAAACCTCGAGAATACATGAATCTCCCTATCCGATCTCAGCTTTACCACTCAAATGATTGACACATCACTCCTACACAATCATCTCATGAAAAATACTCACATAAATCTTCTGCGCCATGTAGTGGAGCCTAAACCTTAGCAACTAACAACTAGGCGATTACTGTAATACTAGTCAAGAATCCACAACTCAATGCATAATGTACCTTCCACACCACACACCCTTTTTTAGGTGATACAAGATAGTGCTAGCATCCTCTTAACATCTGAAATCTCCCATATTGTCTAGAACTTATGACTTTCCTTTCGAATCTGAACTGCAACTTGATTTTTTGATAGCGTGGTTACAATTTACATACTTTTCTAACTTCAAATCATAGGGAAAGCCCCATTCCAACACTTTCACGTACGCCGGAATGGCTCCCCACTCGCCGTCCGGTCAACAAAAACCACCGGACCAGATGCAAAACATGCGTCCTGCCAAGGCGCACACAAGCATCCAAGAATCATAAAAAAAAACACCCACCCAATCACTACGAATCTTCAAAAAGACGTTGAGATCACTGTAGAAAAAAATCTCCTGGGACCTTTAAATATTTCCCAAGGCGATTCTGGGTCAAATCCTGAAATTCCAAGCCGTGGAGATTCTTCTCCATCACAAGGCGCACCTCTCGACCAAAAATCAGCCATTTTCACCGAGGGAACCGACGGGAACGACCAAGTGAAAAACTCCAGCGTAGCACAGGTGACTGGAACAGGAGTTCCAGCCGGTCAAATCGAAAATGCTTGGTACCAAAATGTTCCTCTTGGTGAGGAGAACAGGTTTGCACCTTCAATTTCACATGGGTACCAAACCACAGCTCCAATTTTACAACCCACGATCCCAGGAAGTCTGCCTTCCCCAGGTGTTATACAAAATGCTTCTCTCAATTCTGGGCCAATTGGGAGCAAACCAGCAATTGGAATACACTCAAAAACTCCTAAGGATCATATCTACCAAGTTTCAGGTCAGTCTATTCAAGAAATCTCCCACCATGATCACCTGCTGAACTCAGACCTTCATAAATTAGCCGGCCATGGGGTTCCAGGGATAATTGGCTCCCAAAACCAATGCCAAATGATTTCTGCACCTCAGGTGAATGCTCCCAATCCATCACAGCCAATTTTACAAGCTCCAATCTCCTCGGATATCCAAAAAGGTTCCAAGGAACTTTGTTCATCCAAAGATGTTCGACCAAATGCAAATGTTAGCTCCAGCCCAGTTCACCTGCATTCTTTGATGGGAAACCAACATATGGGGTATAAGGAAAGTTCCTATGAAATTTCTCATCAAACCATTGAAGAAATCAACCCTAAACAATCTTTGTATAGCCCAGCTATTCCCCAGTTGGCCAGACAGGGGGTTAGGGTGGACCATTTGATGTAAAACCAATCCCAAACTGTTTCTAATGATCAAGGGAATGACTTTCCCAATGCCAATTCTGGCCCTATTCAGCAGGCTATGTTGATTGGAGATGTTCCTGTAGCTTGCAAGGAGAATGAGTCCAATTTTTCTCAACATCCCAATGGAGAGTCTGGTTCTTCTGATCCTTTGGAACTCCCAGTTATGCCACAGCTGGTGAGGAACAATGATGCAGCTGATCAAAGACCATCAGGCAACTTAGTGAAACCTTCCTCTACCACTATTGATGTTCCCAACCACCAAACTCTTCCAAATGATCTCCACACTGCCACAGCAATTCAACTAACAATTTCAACTCCACAGTTAGCTGCAAAGGAAGCTGTAGGCCCTGCAGATGCTCACCCTCAAGGATCAGGTATCATCACTACTCCCTCAGTTCCCATAGCACCGAAACACACTGATTCAGGCAACCAGGTCCCCAATGCACAACCTCATAACAAACCATCTCATACAGCTCCTCCCAATATTTCCTCCAACTTTGATAAACCAACCAACCAAAGGAAAAACCAAAAGCCTAATAACACAGCCCAGGAAAAACCAAAACAGGCCTCTCACCCTAACCCTGCTAACAGTAATACCCCCCAGCTCAACAATAACCACAATAAATCCAAACAACCTGCTAACCCCCCTCCCTTACCACCCACAGTCACACAATCCTATGTCACCAGGCTAAGGGCTAGACATGAAGCTGAACTGGCCCCCATTGAATTCTCCCCACCTGTCATCACTACTAAACAAGGCAAGCCTGCAGTTATTTTCAAAAGAGAGGACTACATGGTTAAGTTTGCTGATAGGTGCAAGTTTACATTAGTGGGCAAGTTTGCAAACACTATGCCAAGGATGGAAGTGATCAGAAAAAGTTTCATAGCACAAACAGAGCTTAGAGGTGGTGTCAAAATTGCCCACTTCAATGCAAAGACTGTCTATATTGACTTGGACAATAAGTATGATCATACTACTGTTTGGTCCAAGCAGCATATGTACATTCAAGGCCATCTGATGAGAATTGAAGCATGGAACCCCATCTTTAAACCCAATGAGGATTTTTCAGTTGTTCCTGTTTGGGTTATGATTCCAGAACTACCGTGGCATATGTACTACATGGAGATTCTCTCCCCCCTGTTATCCCCAGTGGGCAAAGCTCTATTCCTAGACTTGGCTTCTTTCCAGAAAACTAGAGGAAGTGTAGTGAAGGTTAAGATGCAGATTGACCTCACTAAAGAAAGACCAACTCATGTTTGGTTAGGGTATGATGAAGATCAGGATGTTAATGGAGATGGCCAATGGCTTGAGGTTCAATATGACAACATCCCTAACTATTGCAATCACTGCAGACACTTAGGCCACTTAGTACAAGCCTGCCCTGTTAGACATAGGGACTTTGAAATACAGAAGAAAAAAGAAGAAGAAGCAGCTGCAGCAACAACTTTCCAGGGCTAAGACCATGCAGAAGGGCTCAGACAAAGCTGAATCAAGTAAGCAGAATCAAGGCAACAAATAACAAGGAAAGCCAAAAAAGGTAATGCAGGATCAAAATGATAAACCAAAAGCAGTGGAACACCAAAAAGAAGCAGAACATCAAAATGCAGTGGCCGAAATAACAGAAGAAGAATGGCAAACTCAAAAGAGAAAAAACTTCAAAGGAACCAATCAAGGGAAAAAGCAACAATAGGTGTACCTCCCAAAACAGCCTTCTACTCAGCAACAAGTGCAAGTCATTCAAAAAGGCTCCCAGCAAATGACATCACAACCCCCAGGTATGGCTTCTATCAATCCTCCAGCTCAACTGGAGAGGAGTGAAGATTCTGGTGCCCAGAATCAACCCATTCCCCCAATTCCCCCTACTATACCTGTTTGCAATTCTGGTGAAGCTGAAGGAGGAATGGAGAATTGTCAGGAGAAACCTTTAGATATTCATGTTGTGGTCCCAAAGGGGGTAGGGTTTCTTCATGTTTTGCATGAGTGTGCCTCTGCACAGTTGGTTGACCATAGGACTGACCATCAGACCCCTGCAACCACTATCACAAATTCAGAAAAGCAAACAGTCCAATTTTCTGCAACTGAGTTTGCTGAGGAGGATTCTGAACCCCTCAATTCTGAAGAAGAGCACTCTGCACAATTGAGATCTCTCCTCAAAGGAAAAGCACAGGTTGCAGCTGATTTTCAGGTACAAATTCAGAAAACAAGGAATAAACCCAGTCAGAAGAAGAGGAAAGCTATGAGAAAGAAAAATGCAAGTATCAGCATATCTGAGCCTCTTGAGCCTCCTGATGATAACCAGAATCCTACAGTCCAAAAAGGAGGTGATGTGGCCCATAATGCAATTGAGGAATCCTCTGCCTACATGTCCTCTTTGTTAGCCAATCCTTCACTCTCCCAACCATTGTTGTCCAATACTAACCCAACCTTTGATAGAACTGAATCATATATTCTCACCAATGATGCTAGCCCCACCTCCAAAGTCCATAAAGCCACTCCAGTCCCAACCAATATTCCCAGAGAAAACCAGCATCTGCCCCCTCTAGATTTGGTCCCTGAAGAAGGCCCACTCAACAGATATTCCCCCAAGGAGGATGAATACAAGCCAATCCAATCTGAGGATGAACAAAGTGAGGATCAGAATGATGAAATGGTTTCTACAAATGAAGAAGAGCATCATTGTGATCTCCTGATAGCTGCAGTCAATGGTGACCCAATTTTAAACCAAGACAGTACTACACCTACAGGAATTCCATCCAGAATGAAGCTCTCACCAAGGTTAACAAGAAGTAGAGCTGCTAGAAGTAGTAGTGTTCCACCAACCCACAGATCCTCCCTCCCCTTCCAATGATTAGTACAATCATATGGAATGTAAGAGGAATCAGAACCCTTGGAGCCATTGAAAGGCTCAGAATTCTAAAACAAATTCACAACCTTTCCTTCATAGCTGTCCTGGAACCTTTCCTGGATAGCACCCATCTCAACCACTATAAAACACAACTCAACATGCAGTATTCTGCCTCAAACATCAACAACAAGATTTGGATTTTTTGGAACCAAGATTGTACTGGCACTATTCTTGAACAAGATGAGCAACAGCTAACTATTGAGCTGAGACACACTGAAGCAGGGGAACAGTTTCTCATTGCTGTGGTCTATGCCCCAAATGCAAACCTATCATGAGAAGACCTCTATGGGAATCACTTAGATTGAGATCTTCACTATGCACTGTCCCTTGGTGTGTAGTTGGGGATTTTAATGTCATTGCTTCTATTGAGGAGAAAATAGGAGGCATGCCCTATCAAATAAACAAAAGTATGGAGTTTTTGAGCATGATTGAGGACTGTGGTTTAACTGATCTTGGTTACTATGGTCCCAGATACACCTGGTCAAATGGCAGAGGTCCCTGTTCTATTGTGTGGAAAAGGCTGGATAGAGGTTTAGTCAATGACAACTGGTTGGCCACCTTCTCTGCAACCACAATCTCCCACCTGGATTCTACAGGATCTGATCACTCTCCACTTCTCATGGATATGAATGTAAGGCCTGATTCTACCAAGAAATACTTCAAATTCCTCAACTGTTGGACTGAGAATGCAGCCTTCATGCCTTTGGTTCAATAAGTTTGGGAAAGGCCTGTCCAAGGCAATGCCATGAGAATCTTTCATCTGAAAATTAAAGCATTATGTACTGCCCTAAGCACCTGGTCAAGGCAGGAGTATGGTGACATCTTCCAGCAAGCCAAAATTTTTTAGGAAAAGCTCAGGAAAGCTGAGGAAGCATGGGCTCAATCTAACAGTGAAGAGGACAGGACTACCCTACATGAAATCAATGCCCAGTACATAAAACATTTGAAGATTGAGGAGTCTGTTCTCAAACAAAAAACACAGCTCCAATGGTTCAAGGATGGGGATGCTAATTCTAGGTATTTCCACAGCTTGATCAGACGGAGGAGGAGGAAGCTATTCATTCATAAAATCAAGGATGAGGAGGGTCAGTGGTTACAAGGTGATGAAACCATTGGACAGGCTGCCTGTGAACATTTTGAAGCCTTATTCACTGATCCAGGGGGAACTATCAGAGAAGACTTACTATCCTGCATCTCTGCAATGGTTACTCCAGAGGATAATGAGATGCTTGCCAAAATGCCTACAATGGAGGAGCTCAAACAAGTGGTGTTTTCTATGAACCCCAATAGTGCAGCAGGTCCTGATGGCCTTAATGGCAAATTTTTCCAAAAATGCTGGGAAGTCATTCAACATGATCTGCTTAAGGTTGTCCTTGCCTTCTTCTGTGGAAGCTCAATGCCAAGGCACATGACTCAAGCATGTCTAGTTTTACTTCCTAAAGTTGAATTTCCCAATTCCCTCAATGAGTTTAGACCAATCAGCTTGAGCAACTTCATAAATAAAATCATCTCCAAGCTCATTTGTTCCAGAATTGCCCCAATACTCCCCAGAATCATCTCAGCAAACCATCTGGTTTTGTCAAAGGAAGAAGCATATCTGAGAACATCATGCTAGCTCAAGAAATTGTACAGGGCATTAAGAAACCAAACATTGGTGCAAATGTGGTTATCAAGTTGTATATGGCTAAGGCATATGATAGAGTGTCATGGGCCTTTACTTGCATCATGATGAGGAGGATGGGATTCAGTGAGTTCCTCATTGATATGGTGTGGAGGACCCTGTCCAACAACTGGTATAGTGTGATCATTAATAATGTCAGATGTGGTTTCTTCCATTCCACAAGAGGCCTCAAATAAGGTGACCCATTATCACCATCTCTATTCATAATGGGTGCAGAACTTCTGTCCAGAATGCTCAACAGGCTCACTCATGACCAATTTTTTAATGGGTTCTATATGGAGAAAAGGGGTCCTCAGGTTAATCACCTCAGTTTTGCTGATGATGTGATCATTTTCACATCTAGAACCAGATCTTCCCTGAAGAAAATTATGCAGATTCTTGGGGATTATGAAGCCACATCAGGGCAGTTAATCAATAAGACCAAAAGTCATTTTATGGTCTCACCTTGCGCATTCCAATACACTGTCAGGAGAATTCATCAAATTACAGGGTTCTCAAGGAAAGAGTCTCCTTTAACCTACTTAGGGTGCCCCTTATACATTGGAAGAAGAGAATCATTCACTTCAACTGCATCAGCTCTAAAGTGGTGAGTAGAATCAGAGGATGGCATGGTAGGCTCCTTTCTTATGGTGGCAGGCTAACTTTAATCAAGCATGTGCTACAGTCCTTACCAATTCACCTCCTTTCCTGTCTCCCCTCCCAAAACTGTCCTTAAGCAAATTGAAAGACTCACAGCTAACTTCTTCTGGGGCATGGACAAAGATAGAAATAGATACCACTGGGCTTCATGGCAAAAATTATCCAATACTCAGGAGGAAGGTGGAATTGGACTCAGATCAGTAGAGGATGTCTGCAAAGCAATGGAGTTCAAACAATGGTGGACCTTCAGAACCAAACAGTCCCTATGGTGCAGTTTCCTCCTTGCTAAATACTGTCAGAGGTCACACCCAGTCTCCAAAAAATGGGCTTCAGGCCAATCTCAAGCATGGAAAAAGATGATGACCAATAAAAAAGAAGCTGAAATCCATATCCAATGGAGATTACATTCTGGTAATGTCAGCTTTTGGTGGGATAACTGGCTAGGATCTGCAAACCTAGCTAGCTTCAGGGAAGGCACAGGTAGACCTGGCAAAATCAAAGTTTCACAATTCTGGACTTAAGGTCAATGGGATATTCAGAAGCTCAATGCCATAGCCGCCACTGCAATGATCCCTCAAATTCTAAATACCCCCATTCATTACAACCCTCAGTGTTTGGATGTACCTATATGGAAGCCTAACACATCTGGGAAATTCACATGTGCATCTGCCTGGGAAGTTGTTAGAAAGAAGCATCAGGTTCTACTCACCGACAAATGTATCTGGCACAAGAGAATCCCATTCAAGTGGTCATTTGGACAATGGAGAGCACTAAGGAACAAGCTCCCCACTGATGACAGAGTTGCTAGATTTGGTCCTCCAACTGTCAACAAATGTGTTTGTTGTCGCCAACCTGCATCAGAAACTGTTAATCATATTTTCAGCAATGGGAATTTTGCTAGGGCTGTCTGGAAGCATTATGCAGCTCCAGTTGGTATTCTCAACCCCATGAACCTAAGCCAAATCATTGTGAAATGGTGGATGGTTAAAAGAACAAATCAGATTCAGAAACTAGTGTTGGACACTATCCCCATCATCATCAGTTAGAACTTATGGAAGAATAGGTGCAGTGCTAAATATGGAGGAAAAAATTCCTCTCTGACAAGAGTTTCATCTCTATCAACTCAGATATCCAGCTCTTACTGAGAAGCACCTATGACTACATCAAATGGCCTTTCAACTGAACTGAGCTTTATACCACTATTGAGGGAATCAAACAGCAAACCACTGTTCAACAAGTTGTATGGAACAAACCTGACCAAGGATTTGTGAAGATCAACAGTGATGGTAGTGCCTTGTCAAATCCTGGGAAAATTGGTGCTGGTGCAATCATTAGAGGCAACAGGGGAGAGTTCATCCATGCAATCACAACACCCTTAGGCACAGGAAGAAACAATCTGGCTGAAATTGAGGCTGCTTACCTGGGTATTCAATGGTGCATTTCTAATGGATTCACTAAGCTCCAGTTAGAATCTGATTCAGCCCTTCTGATTCATTGGTTAAAAGAGGAAACAACACCACCCTGGACCCTGATCATGCATATCCAAAAAATCAAGCAGGCCTGCAGACAATTTGAAGTCATCACCTTCAGTCACACCTATAGGGAGGCCAATTGCCCTGCTGATTCACTGTCCAAACTCAGCCATGAACTGGAAGCCCTTACTCATTGCAACAGCATCTCTGAAATGCCCAGTCACATCAGGGGACAAATCTACATGGACCAAATTGGCACCCCTGCCTTCAGACACAAGGTCATTGCCAAAATCCAAATCCCAACACAACTAGCGTCTACCTCTTCCCATGGTTATGGTTAATAGTAAGACAGAAATGGCCAAGACCTAACTGCCCAAAAGATCACAGCCATGAAGAGTGATAACACCAACAAACCCCACCCACTGATTTTTCTAACATTGTTTGTTCTTTTGCGGATTTACCCCTCCTATGAGCTACCTAATTCTCTGATGATGGTCCAGAGTGTGGTATTAACCTTAGGGTTCATTCTCCTGGCACTTCACCAAAGGCTAGATGTAATTCATGGAGGGAAGAAAGTTTTCCACCAGTATGAAATGCACAGCCACATGGCCTATGACAAATGGCCTGAGGCAATTGTCAGATCATTCACACAACAGCCTAGAATAGCACACCACACCACCCCTACAGTCCTCACACAAACACCCTCCAGTGCAAAAGTGAAAAGCAGGAAGAGAATGCAGCATCAAACATGTGACCACTCTCTGAAACAGCATCCCATCCTGCTCAATACCTCTAGAAAACTCAAGAATCTAGGAGTACCTCCCACATGCAATCCAAACCACTACTGTGGCAACACCAATGCCTCCCTCCTCAAAAACAGAACCAAAGAACTGAGCAGAAATGCTCAATTTTCCTCTAACTCTGTTTGCTTTTTTGTAGGAACAATTTCAGCTCCTCTACTTAGTCAATTGGCATGTCCTTTGGGAGTGGTATTAGCACCTCTGGTGCTCATTCTCTTAAAGGCATACCATTTGGCAGTTAAGAAGCACCAAGGCAACAGCATCAACAATCTGCAACACAGCCAATTCACCGGCTCCATCACCGGGAAAATAGTTGGTGCAGTTGCAGAATCTGCAGAAATCACTACTGCAACCTGTGTCTGCAGCAACAACCATACAACTGAGCAAACACCTATGCATTCTCAGCCATCCATTCATGACCACAATCCCTTCATTCATTGCCCATCCAATCCAAATAAATGGGCATCACACAACTATGGCCACCCTCCTACATACCCACCTTACAGTAGAATCAACACCTTCACTGATTGCAGTCAACACAAGAACCTGCAATCAGTTCCTCTTCATAATTCAGGGTCCCAATTCCCCCCCTGCCCCCAGACTCAAATCCAGTATACACAAGAACCTGGATGATGAGCTCCCCTTCTCTAACCTGTTTGTTCTTTTTGTAGGTACTTGGAGCAGATTTGACTAAATGGGGTACCTTCAGATAGTGGTATTAGCATCCCAGATGCTCATTCTGCTGAAGGTACACCAGGTGAATCAAGTCTCTCCCCCCTCATCACAAAAGAAGATCAATTTCCCATACCAAGACTGTCACTCTTACTCAGGCAACAGCAACTCACCCACTGCATTTCAGTGGAGTTTCATTGGACAACTGAAGCAGGATCTGGTACTCTAACTAGCTCACTTTCTCCTGTCAAGTTCAACAGACAGCAGCATCCACAGGCAACTCTACATGGAACCCTTTTATTCACCAGCTTCTACAACAAACTGATGAAGTCCAGTGCCCTGCAAAATGGACAACTGAAGCAGAAGTTGTTCCTCTTTTTTGGCTACTCTCTCATGTCACAACCATCAGATAGTAGCAGCTTTCACCTCTCTTTGGATCTCCTTTTGATTGCTGTCTTCTACTATGCTTTCCTTGACCTCAACGTCAAAGCACAGTGGAAGACAGCTTTTACCATTAACCATGATTATCCAGCCTTTTTGCTAGGATACTTTTACATATGCATTAGATGTAGATCCTTTTGTATATGTAAGAATGCTTACCACCTTTTCTGGTTAGTAGTTTTAGGATCATTTGTGCAATTTTGTATAGTTGACCTAGGCTTACTACTCTCATATTTTGTAACTCCAATTGTCTACCGATTTTGGATAGATAGTTGGCACATCCATATAGGTATAACACATCATAGTGTCCAGGTGACAGTTGGTTGCCTCATGTGGCTAACCAAATGCATTTTCATACTTGTGGAGGTAAGGTTCAGGTCCCCCTCCACTCTTGCTGTACTTTATGTTTTATTTATGGAAATCAGCCCTAGGCACAATGCCTAGTGGATTCTCAGGAAAAAAAACTGCAACCTTATCCCTGCAATCTTGATCTCACATAGTGAACCGCATCCATCATTCTAACATATCAAAATACAAGAATTTATCGACTCTGAATCACAAGTAGGATTGTCCACCAATCGAAACCTTCCACTTAACTTAAACCCGAAGGACCAAATCACAATACGTAACGAACTCCCATGCATGTAGAGTACATCACCTGCAAGTCGTGGTCAAACCATCACAAACTTGTCGGAATCCATTGGCGCATAATCAAATCATCAAAATTGATTCCCTCTAACTCAACCAAGTCACGCATACTGCCAAACCCAAAAGTAACTCAATCTGAAATGCTTGCTCTGAAGGGGCCTTCTATGAATCCGAAGTCGTTTCTTGCATCTCTTTAATTTTTCCATGTAAAGTCAATAACGATATAGAAGTACTGCAAGTCTAGACACCATCCAATACAGATCTCAAGTCCTAGCCATACACTAATCCGAAAAATCCTTAAATACCAAATATGAGTCTTTAGTCCACTAAGGACTTCTCGACAATCATTCACCTTGCTATAACCTAAAACACACAATCAGTACGCATCGGACAACCTATGCTCTACCAATACATGAATAGAAGCAATCAAGCGATTCCCTTTTCCTTGCACACTACATCCACAACAAATAACAAACCTGAATCATCCCAAGATTTCTATATATCTGTAAAGTGTAGTACATTATGCATCCGGAAATTTCATTGCTTGAGTCATCTTCAAAATCAAACTCTTCAGGTCATACCTTATCCACAAGCGTCCCTTATCCAAAATTGATATAACACATGACCATGCGGTCCGATTGTCGATAATAGACTCTCCCACTTTGCTCGAAGCCATAGAATATAACATTTGTAACCCATAGTACCCTTGTTTTGTAGCCGCCCCGATATCACACTATTAATCAGTTGAATGCTCTATAAACTCATGTAACACTAGTCATAAAACACTCTAAAGACTTTGGCAAGTGCATACATATCCTCGTGATAGTTGAACGAACTTCCTAAAGCGGTCTGAAATGATAGTATATGCATTTCACTTAATAGAAGCCTCATACGAAACACACAACTTCAAATCTTCTCGCATGAGATAACCCACCAGCTAGATTCAAATCAATATCTTCCCATGGCCTACCATGGTCATAATGACTAGGCAACCAATTAATTCTCCCGAGTCTACACTCATCAACAAGATATAAGAACAACCTTCATTCCTCAAATGAACAACCGAAAGATCCACCGACACACCCACTCCTCAAAACTTTACAGCACATCGAGACAATGATCAAATATCCATAGCTCTTCGCATTCCATCTGCAACACTACAAGTTGTCGGTGCACCACTAATATCGAATGCTCAACAACACATATGAGTGAACGGAAAGAAATCAAAGGTAAAAGCTTCAAGCTGAAATAAAGTCGCATGATAAGGAAAGAAAGATGGGAAGTTTCCTAGACGCCTTGTAGCCTCTCGAAGATAAGTATGGAAGAAATCATACCGACCCGCAAGACTCTAATAGACACTTTTTCATGACTCGTAGAACCTATGAACCTAGAGCTCTGATATCAACTTGTCATGATCCAAAATCTCACCAAGTCGTGAAGGAACCTACCCAACCCGCTTGGTATGCCAAATAATACAAGATATAACTATATCATCAATATTATAAATAAAACTGCAAAAGAATACTATACAACTATCCCAAGGACTGGTAGTACAATTCATGAGCCACTATGATTTAGATTTATTAAGCTAGTAAGCAAAAATACAACATATGTTTGAAGGTTACATAAATAGAAATGAGGTCCTAATCTACCAAGGACAGATGGTAGCTTGAATTTGGGATGCAACTACTTCAACGCCTTCCTTCGTCATCTACAATAGCTCAGCTTTAAGAATCTGCACGCAAAGTGTACAAGTGTAGTATGAGTACAACCGACCTCATGTACTCAGTAAGTATCTTGACTAACCTTAGAGAAGTAGTAACGAGGTTTTAAAGTCAAAAGATACTCACTTTACATAACCTGTGCAACTCAATAACAAGTATAATACATAGAAAAATAACCAGAAAGACAGTTAAAGAATAAAGAATATCAACAGTAAAGGTGCACAACTGGGATAGGGTAATAAAAAAATTTACTAAGTAGACATGTTCCACAAATACAACCTGCACCAACCCCGCTTACAAAGAGCTATGCGCCATATAATATGTGTGTTCAATACTCACACATGACTTTAAACTTGGGCCCAACATGATCCAATTCCATATCAATTTCCAAATAAAACATTTAAGAGAACTTTTCTAGAATCAAATATATCAATGCATGATGAGCACTTCCATATCACATCAATACGATATGCTCCCAACAACTCTACAAAAAAACATAAGATGTCAAATCAATATAGAAAAATCCATTTTTGTCAACAAATAATCAAGTAGAAATGGAGGCATGTATAACATGTAAAATTCAACTAACAACTCACTAAAATACAAGATGGAGCTTTAAGAAACATGCCTATGATCAGAATATCAACCCCGTTGCAATCACTTAAACAACATCAAGAAAACTCCCCCAAAATCATCACATAACATCAAAAACAATGTCACTCTTATTTTGTTGCATGGGCACATAATAATGAAATGCTCTCCTTATTTTGCCAAATGCGCATAACACCACCCTTATTTTTCCACGTGGGCAATCCGAGAAAATGTCACCCTTATTCCGCCCCACACGCCTAACGATAGACACATTCGCCCGGCAAAGACCTCGTGCCACAATCACAACAATTGAAGATAACAAATTATCATCAAGAGGCATATCCTCATAACTTATCAATAAAGTACACAAGGACATGATAACAACAAAAATGTGGATGGGGTTCAACATATAAAACATGACTATGGCTAAACTAGTTATAGCAACCAAGTCCAAGTAGTCATACA